TATACATACATATACATATATATATACACACATATATATTTATTAACACACACACGCACACACTATCTATATGTCTTTTCCCGAGAAACTTCCTGAGTTTCCTGATGCTAACTAATGAGAACATAGAATGAGATTTCAAATTTCATCCTGTATTTTTCTGACAGTTATCATGTAACTGCATACAGTCTGTGAATTCATGTCAGTTATTTTTTATGTCAGTTAATTTTATGCATAGGTAATGGCAGAGAAGTATCAAACACAGTAGATAAGTAAAATAATTGAATGTGGGATGCAGATGTGTATTAGACACTAGTCTCTTAGAGACCATTCTACTTTATAACGCTGATTTTTAGTCACCGTAATGTCCTTAAACAAGGCAACATAACTATAGATTTGCTAAAAATTGGGATTTTTATATGAATATATTCTAGTGGATTATCTGGGGAAATCCAGAGTAGAAATGTTTGACATTTTTCAAGCTGAAAGAAGTAAAGAACAAATTCAAGTCTCAAGTTCTAATACTGAAGGATTCTATTTTTAAGAATTCAAAATATTGAATGATGCGGGAAACATCAGAAGTAAATAGAATGGTTACAGAATCACCAAATGAAACGGCCAACACTGAAACATTTCTGTGTTCAAAAACCATGGTACTGAAGGAAGACATATAAGCTGCACTGAAAGCAATGGGAAACAATAAGGCTTCAGGTTTCTTCTTCTGAATAACATAAGGCTCTACTTCTAAAATAGCAGGCCTCTGAAAACCTTGGAAACAACAATAAATATAGTATTAGAGGTAGAGCTCAGCTTGGTCACAGTGAAACGGAGGAGAAGCAGCTGAAAACATACTTTAATAACTGGAATGTGAAATGTATGGAGTATGAAGGTTGAACAACTACAAGTAGTGAAAAATTAAATAGACTGTATGAACATTGACATTCTAGGCTTTAGTGAGATATACTGGCTTTGGCAACTCTGAATCAGACAATCACTTGCTATCTATGCTGGGAATGAAAAACAGTAAGAATGGTGTTGCATTCATAGTTAAAAGACAATTTCATGTTCTGTCCTGAAGTATAAAGTTGTGAGTGATAGAATATTATCCATATGCATACAAAGAATTCAACATAACTATGTTGGCCTAGTGGACAGAAAGTTATGCTACCAAGTCCAAGGTGGGTGATTTTAAACTGCAGCCCTCAGGCCTGGTTCAAATTTTTTTCTGTCAAACATTCTTTTAGGTGGAATAGCATAGCACTGGTCTGTGCATTGCTGTATAGAGGTAACTAGTGGTTGCTGTGATGCTGAACACTGTGACACTGATGTGCCAGATATGATAATGGTTACCAATGATGGACAGTGTTTGGTGGAGCTTCCCATTTAAAACAAGCCTGGAAGCAGCAGTGGCATCCACTTCTGAAGTGGCTTGCCTCTGGAAACTCTATGATCAGTTCTCAGGCCTTTCATTCATAGGGTCGCTATGAGTTGTCTATGACTTGATGGCACCTAAAAACAACAACAACAGCTAAAGCTAAAGAGGAGGTAATTGAACATTTTTATTAAATTTTTTAGTCTGAAATTGATCAAACACAATAGTGATACATTAATGATGATTGGTGATTGGAATGCAAAATTTGGAAACAATGAAGAAGGAAGGGGTAGTTGGAGAGTGTGGACTTGGTTACAGAAATGTGGCCAAAAATAGTATGATGAATTTTTTTATTTTTTTTTACAAGTACATCTTTTAAAAAGCACAAATGGGATCTTTACACATGGATCTCACAAGATGGACTGCATAGGAATCTGACTGGCTATATCTGTGGGAAAAATCATTGGAGAAGCTAAACATTGGCAGCCAAAATTAGACCAGGTACTCACTGTGGAACAGATCATCAATTACCCATTTGCAAGTTCAAATTGAAACTGAAGAAAATGGAAAAAAGTTTATGAGAACCAAAATATGATCTTGAGTCCATCCCACTGGAATTTAAAAATCATCTTAAAAATAGGCTTGAAGAATTGAACATCAGTGATCAAAAACGAGGTGACTTGTAGGAAAAGATTAAGTACATCAGCCATGAAGAGAACAATAGCTCACTAAAAAGATAGAAGAGAAAGGAAGACCAAAGTAAGACCAAAATGTAAGGTCAGAAGAGACTTTACAAATTGCACTGGAGAATCAAGAAGCCAAAGCAGAGGGAAGAAATGTGAAAATAAAAGAGCAGAAAAGAAGATTTCAAAATAGCTAGGGAAAACAAAGCAAACTACTATAACAAACGTACAGAGACCTAGAATTGGAGAATTAAAATGGAAGAACTCACTCAGTATTTATTAAACTGAAGGAGCTAAAAAACATTTTCAAACCATGATTTGCAATACTTAGGGAAACGATGGGGGAAATCTTAAATTATTCAGGAAATATCAAAAGGGAATACACAAGAGTCACTGTATGAAAATGAAAATTGACCAACATCAAAATGTTTCAGGCAGTATGCTATTATCAATAGCCAATGATAAGGAATAATAAAGTCAAGCTGCACTGAAGGCACTGGCAAAAAATAATATACCAGGAATAGAAGGAACACCAACTGAAATGTTTCAAATGACAAATGTAGCCCTAGACCTAGTAGTCACCACTCTATACCAAGAAATTTGGAAGACAGCTGCATGGCTGACTGACTGTAAGAAATCAATGTTTGTTTCCATTTCCAAGAAAGGTTATTGAACAGAATGTGGAAATTATCAAACAATGTTATTAATATCAGAAAGCTCCCTGTGGTCTAGTGGCAAGAAACTATGTAACAATACTAAAGGCCATCAAGTGCTCTGCTGAAAAAGGGTAATCAGTCTCCTCCTGTGCAAGAAACTGCCTCTGAAAACTCACAGAGGGTCAGCTATGGCTTGGTTCTGACTCGATGGTACTTGACAATAAACAACAATCATTACTATTACTTGCAAGCAAAGTACTCCTGAAGATCATTTAATAGAATAGAATAATCCATAGTCAGAGAACTACCTGATTTTGAAGCTGGGTTTAGAAGAGGCCATTTTACCAGAAATATAACTCTGATGTCAGATGGTGTAAAATCAAGAAAGGTGTTGTCAGTGTTGTACCTTTCTCCACATCTATTAAATCTGTATGCTAAACAAATAATTAAAAAAAAATAACAACGGTATTGTACACAAAAGTATGTGCTTTCAAGATTGGAAGAAGCCTCATCAACATGTTTTAAGTGTATGAGATGACCTTTTTGCAGAAAGTGAAGAAGACCTGACTATACCCTAATTCAAAGACTTTTGCTTTCAATAGATATTTCATCTTAACAAGAAAACTGCCTCTGAAAACCCACTGGATGGTCAGCTATGGATTGGTCTCCAACTCAAAGGCACTCAACAATGACAACTGCACCAATAGAAAATATCTTGATATTGGATAAAAGATTGACATTTCCATGATTCTATTTTTCTTGGAATCACAATCATGGTATAGGCAGTCAAGAAATTAAAAACAAAATTCACTGGGAAAATGCAAGACTTCTTCAAAATGCTAAAAAGCAACAATACCATGGTAATGACTCAGGTGTTCCTGATTGCAGCTGCAATATTTTCAATTGTTTTTAGGACATCTGAGAGTTGGAAAATGACTAAGGAAGAACGATGAAATGTTGATGCCTTTGAATTGTCATGCTGGAGATGGCTGCTGGATATACAATGGACTCCCAAAAATATAAAAATGTTTGGTTTGAAGGAAGTGCAAGCAGACTGCCCGTGAGAGGCAAGGCTGATAAAATCTCATCTCACATACTTTGAGCACATTGTCACCATGGGGCAGTTCTAGGGAAAAGGTATTATGCTGGTAAAAGGTAGTGGATCAGTGAAAGAATGGAGAGAATCTTTGGCAAGATGGATTGATACAATGACTAAAACAATGGAACTGAGCTTGAGTGGGATAATGAAGAAATTACAAGGTAGAGCAAGTTTCTTGTCTTTTGCTTACAGGATTATTATGAGTTGATGGCACCTAACAAGAGCATTCCAAGCTGAAATCTGTTACATGATTATGAGATTAAAATGTAGGAAGGGGAAGTAGAGAATTATGTTAAAGCTGTAGAAGAAAAAAACCAACCCTTATACGCTTAATTCTTTGCATAAGCATTTCATGAGCTTCTATAATATTTCAAAATATCAGAAACTTTAGAGTAGTTCTTATGGCAATATTTAGCTGACATAACTGATTTTTATATTGTCTTACACACAGATTGCATATGAAGAGATTCTTCTCACTTATCTTTAGGGATATCAAAAGCAGGTTCAGAAATGAACTAATTGGCAAACACTTTGAGAGGTACTTGCTCAGTAGCATATAAATTACAGTGCTTTATAATGCCTTA